CTGCTCAAGCGGTCATGTTCGTTTTCGATGTATCTCTTGCCTGGCACTACCAATTCGGTCAGCACAACTAAAAGTCAACACAACGTTCTTTTCAGACTGCCTTGATCCAGAAAAACATGCTCCAATGGCCCAAGGTCTACATCAGCTCGGAAGGCATCTCGAGTGACCGAGTGGCTTCCCTCACCAAAATGGTCAAGCGATGGAAGGGCGAGACGGTTTCCGAGGATGCGGTAGGCTGTGTTAGTGTACAGTTGTGTGCTCGTTCGCAGTACTATATAGGTTTGAGTGTGCATGCGTGTGCATTCAGCAGGTATCGAGTGTGGCTCTTCACCATAAGCGATGTGCGATATCCCAATACCAGTGTATAGTACCAGTGCATATCATTCGTGTACAATACCAGTGCACAGTAACAGTGTACCACATCATGATGATAGAGCGCGACTATCCACAGCTTATAGTCCGACCGGATGAGACACTGGACAAGTTTTTCATTTCCAATGATACTGGCGGGATATCAGTGTAAATTATTAATTTATTGTACAATTTCATACCATCAGTTTATGATAGTAGTGTAAGTTATCAGTTTATTGTACTATTTTATACCACCAGTGTATGATAGCAGTGTAAATCATAAGTTTATCCAGAGTATGATAGCAGTGTAAATTATAAGTTTATCCAGAGTATGATAGCAGTGTAAATTATCAGTTTATTGTACTATTTCATATCACCAGTGTACAATCACTGTGGATTTCACTGGTCTCGTACCTAGTGCGCGGCGCGACACGTGCTGACAATCACATGCCAGTAACTCGAAACGGGATACTCTTAGAGCATCTTCCACTACAGAAACCCCATAATTCCCACCGAATTTGCAAGTTCTGCGAAGGATTGGGGGCCATCAGACCGTTGTGGGATAGTACTGCGATGGCGTTCCCGTCTGTGGACACACTTTGTGTTTGTGTATTGCCAGTACACGCCTGTCTGTCATCGCCTGAAGATATCAGATGTGTTCTATGCAGTAAGGCGTATGGACACCACACAAACGTACTACACCAATATAGCACTGCGTAATATTAATATTAAGATACTACCACAGTACATACTGATACATTAAACATATGCCCTAGTACTTTGATGGGGCTCTGTACGTTATCGGTTCTTGTGAGTCTTCACTTACGCTCCTAAATGTGCAATGCAGATTCGGGGCACCACACATACATACTACACTACTATAGATTAATATTAAGAGACTACCACAGTACATACTGATACATTAAACATATGCACTCTTACTATGGTGAGGTTCTGTCTGTCGCTGTGGATTCTTGAGGACCTGGACTCGCGCTTCAATCACTGCAGTGTAGATTTCTGCAGTATCACGTTTATAAACTCAATCTGAAGTATCACCGCCTACTATGTTGTTATCATCTACCTGATCCGCGATGTGAGACTTGTCTACTTACACAAATTACACAAACATCCCACGATAATGATAATTGGCAAAAGCCGATGCTGAATCATAGCACCTCACTACGTAGACTGGTGGTATACAAAATCGTATTGTATTGTATAGTGTATTGTACGTGCTTATGATACGTTTCGATATCTCTGCAGGCCACGCTTGTTGTGCGTCGCTTTGGAGATGAGGAAGAAAACAGCGAAGACGATTGGATGAGACCGCTCGAACAGAGGGCGAATAAGGTGTGTGGCACAGGCGAACTATTTACTCATAACGTATGCAAACGGTGAAAGTTATGGGATTAGCGAATGTCTGTGATACTTGTATTGTGTAGTGGTGGGTCGGTTTTCTCCAGCGCGGCTTGATGATGTACATACTTGGGTGAGCACTTGCTGGTGTATAGCTCAGGCGACTAGCGCCGAATGCGTAAATTGTACTTAAGAATTCTTAACAACCACTCGAGGTCCGACATGCAGGCGGTAGCCTCCGACAATGCACCGCTACTTCGATGTAGTACTATATTTATATATCTATATATTTATATATCTATATATTTATATATTGATGTAAATATTTCTATTTCTATTTATATTCATATTTATATTTATATATCTATATATTTATATATACTGCCTACCAATCCCATTAGGTGCTGGTACACTGGTGGTACAAACCGGACAGTTACGACAACTTGGTACCAGCTGCCGAAGTCACAGAGGATCCTATCCGGCCAGCGGTGGCTAAGAAGTACATAGTCAGCACGCGCATGATCACTGATACAAACAAGTACCACGAATGGGTCAATCCGGAGGACTATCTGGTATGTGAATGATACACCTGCATGTCAAGTACGTGTATAAAATATCAGACAATGTAGAATATCCAGCTTACGACAAGCCGTAGATGTTGCTGTATGGAATCCGCTGTGATATGTGCACGGGTGTACTGTTGGGAGCTCTGTGTGGGTCTTACTGCGGCGATGGAGAGGCATACGTGGGGTGTTCTAGGCTCGCACAAGGTCTGATGCATCACCTTCTACTATAGACAGGGGTCATCCTAGCGTGTAAATTAGACTAACTCCGCGAGACATATATATATATATATGTATCTATTTATATATATATATGTGTGTGTGTGTGTGTGTAATATGTATATGTATATATGTATATGTATGTATATATGTGTGTGTGTATGTGTGTGTGTGTGTGTGTGCACCTATCAGCACCATTAAGATATATTTTTTATGTTTGCAAGGCTGATTCATCCACCGGCTGTTTGCACGGGTTGCCCGGGAGGGCCCACACGGGCAGGAGTGGACGTTTTCATTGTAGTCAGTACAACATGTGTGGAATTTAAGGTGCAACAGGCTCAAGCAGTGAGTGTATGGGCAGAGACGCACCATTTCTTCTGCGTGGTATGGTAGTGGGGATTGGTAGTCGCATGCTGAGCACCTTAAGAACGCGAGCTTGTACACCAAACGCTGTGCATGAGAGGTTTTGGGCCTGTATAGCGGTGCTTTTTGATGTGAGCGTGCGTATGCGCGTTTGTTTGTACACCTGCTCGAGTGAACAAGAACCGGTCGTTGCTGTTCCCTCCTTTCAGTCTTACAGTTGCGACTAGTTCTGATGGTCCTACTGTCCTGGTCATGTGCAATGGGACTTGAACATGCACAGTCAGTTGACCGGCTGTGTCCTGTAATCCATATCACACGGACCTTTGAAACACATACACTTAATCAATTTCACAAATAAGTGCCTGTGACGTATAACGCTGTCACTTCCGATGGCCACTTCGACCGTAAACCCTATGCCACATAAACCTAGAACCCTAGCACATAAACCTTATTTTCTGAATCATACCAGGTTCTTCTCATACAATAGGAAGAAATCACGCAAACCCTATCCGACGTAAACCCTATATCTATATCTAACTCGGTTTATCTCATACAGGAGGAAGAAGTCATTGCAATCGAGGCCGCCCCCGCATCAGTCAGTGAGAAAGCACGCTCGCGCAAACGGAAAGGCAAAAACCGTCTCACGTCACAGCGCAGCAAACGATCGCGTCACTCCAGCACTGTGTCTGAGGAGAAGGACGCGGACTACTTCAAGGACATGCCAGCACCCCCCTCACCTAAAGTGGAGGTGGTGGATGTCAATAAGAAATTGGGTATGGTGTGTCGGTGTGGTTGGTTGCTTGGTTGGTATGAGACAGGTATATGGATGTGCACGTGTTCTTGTGTGCTCATTCAGTGCCGCTGGTTGTACAGTGTAGGTAGTTATCGTCTGCGTAGGCGTGAATGCCTACAGTCTGTTCTGTACTTTGAACAGTGACCCACACAACATGTTGGTGTAGTGTATACATATTGGTTCGTGCATCCTCATGGTGTTGTACTTATACGCTCTGTTGCATTGCTCTGACAGAAGAGGCAGCTGGAAAGAAAGACCCTGATTTGGCGCGGGTGCGTGCGGCGCACGTGGTCAACGCGACCAATGCAACGGGCGATGGAAAGGACCCGTTCTTCAAGGACGCAGTCACTGATCAGGAGCAAGCAGCAGCGGAGGAGGCCGAGCTGAGGGAAACCCCCGAGCCAGCAGGTGCCACAGGTGAAGGTAAAGAAGTGGTCGAAATCAGCCCCAAATCGGAGAAGAGGGAACAAGATAAGAAGACGACGGTGCCGGTATGTAGTGTCGCGTGTGGGGTGGAGGTGTGATCATAGTGTGTTCGAGCTCAGAGAAGGGCGCGTGCGCTTGTTCTGTGGGCACCACGCATACCCCAGGACAAATTATACACGCGGTTTGCAAAGTACAAGTGCATATGCGATAAGGCGCTTTCACAGCTTTTGGGTGCAATCTTTTACTTGTCCGTGACTAATGACACTGGCACATTACGTATTACTCTGTAGTCAACATATTCTTGGCAGGAGTTTCATTCCAAGCCGTTTCTCACCTGTGAGATGTCCCATGTTCTAACGTTACCCACAGGAAACCTCGAGGACAGAACCCAACTCAGTAAAGGCGATAAAAGCCTCAAGCGTATCAGACTCAGCGGTTGCAGAAAAGGAAACTGCAACAGACAAATCGGATGCGAGTGCCATTGATGTGGACGCAACTATGGCAGACACCGAAAGTGCCCCTACAAAAGCGGATGGGGCCGAAAATAAAAGCGATGCAATGGATGTAGATAAGGAGGTCGACACCGCACCGAAACCAACACCAGTCGCACCAGTCAAGAGCTCTGAGACGAGGGCTAGCGCGGAATCTGCTGCTGACAAAGGTATACCACCGAACTCTACCCACAGACATCGTGGCGCACGTGTCCTTAGCACAGACATCGTGGCACATCACATGTGTTCTTTGCTGATTAGCGCTCGCTCGGTTTTCTGCGTGCCCGTGATACTGTCGCGAATAAGCATTTTGCATATCGTCACGATGGCACTTTGTAAACGAGAGAGCGTGAACGAAACTTGCTGCACATCACATATGGAGGTGTCCGGAGTACTCTTTATTTTATGTTTTATTGGAGATGGCACAGGCCTGTTCAATTTGGAGTGACGGTTAGAATGTCTAGGTGTGTTATTAACGCGTCTCATCAAACCCCACACAGAAAAAAACATCACAGACGTTGACAGCCAGGAGACTGCGCCGATGGAGCCCGAGGAAAGAGAGGCTACCGTCACGGAACCGGAGATCGAGGAACAGGGCCCAGATAAGTACTATGCCGAGCAGACGGACATGGTAGTAGTTCCCAGTCACTCCGCATGGTTTGATTATAATGCCATCCACTCCATTGAGAAGAGGGCTCTACCCGAGTTCTTCACCGGCAACTCCAGATCGAAAACCCCTGAGATGTAAGTACACGCGGGCCGGGCAAGCATCGCTCTGTGCTGTGTGCTATTGCTAATACTGATACTCTATCCCTGGCCGCGTGTTTGGTCAGCGGGTGCTCGCACTCTTTTGGTCTGTTCCATTGTTCACCGTTATAATGTTGAGCTGGATGGCTGCTCTCTGATCCCCTGCGCGTGCCACATGACTCGATCGTCTGTTATGTTTGTAATGTGTTTATGTGGTTGCCATTGCGTTGCTATGGTTCTGAGACGTCGATTGGACTGTACCAATTAAATGACCTTTTTTTTTTCACCGAGAGGTTTGACCCAACGCAAGAGGCTGCGCATCCAACATCGGTCCCCCAACTACCGCACCTACCCATCGTCACTTCTCCCTTTGCCATTCACCTTATTCTAGACATTTGTCTCTATTCATAAAATGTGTCCTTTCTCATTGCTTCACCCCCACGCACATACATTCCTTTCTATTTTATAACTATTTTCCCATCTAGTTGATTCACCTGTCATCTTCAACGCACACACATACATTTCTCTTGTTAAAATTTCTATTAATAGACCGTTTCCTCTATGAATAGAACTTCTGTTAATAGCACGCTCCATTCCTCTCCACCGCCCAGCTACATGGCATACCGAAACTTCATGGTCGACACCTACCGTCTCCGGCCCAAAGAGTACCTCACCGCCACAGCCTGCCGACGCAACATGACGGGCGATGTGTGTGCCATTCTGCGCGTCCATGCATTCCTGGAGCAATGGGGTCTGATCAACTACCAGGCGGATTTTGACCTGCGCTCAGGTCCCCTGGGCCCTCCCAGCACTTCACACTTCCGCGTGGCCGCCGAAACACCTCAGGGCGTGCAGCATATTCGCACCACCACAGTCTCTGAGCAGAAGACCATCGAATCGCTCATCCAATTGGACTCGGCCGATGCTCTGTTGGTGTGTGGCGTGACGCGGCTCTGAAGTATATTTGTGTACTGTAGTTCTGCACTGTAGTCTGTGATGTGTTTTAATGTTTTGGTTATTTTGTCATACCGACATCCCATACACGCGCCATCCACTGCAAAACAGAGACCGAGGACAATCATTCACCTTACTCATTGGCATCCACTGACCCGTTTCTGATCACTCCCCGTCCCACTTTCCCTCTCACTCCCACTCCCACTCCCACGCACACATGGCCTGGCCTTTCCGCCCCCCACAGAAGAAGGACCGGCTACTGGACACGCGCAAAGACCAGTACGCCGATGCGGCGAAGGGCCCGTGCGGCACCTGTGGAGCGCCATGCACCAGCGCCGTATTCCGGTGCAACAAGGCTACGCCTGAACTGGTGCTGTGCCACGAGTGCTTCAGCCAGGGCCAATACCCCGAGGAGTTTGGGTCCAATGACTTTACCAAGCAGAACATCAAGGACGACAATGTGGTGCCGTGGACAGACCAGGAGACGCTGCGACTGCTGGAGGGCATTGAGATGTTCAAGGATGACTGGGTGGAGGTGAGCGCCCGGCTGTGTGTGTACCTGAATGGGCTTATGCCTGCAACAAATAGTGTACTGTACTGCATACGAGAAACGGGAGTGTGTGGTTGTAGAGTATATATTGGGGTGCCCGGCTGCTCTGTATTGATTTGGAAACAATTGGGTGGCCCTGCCAAACTTTAAGGAAGGTGGTTGCAAGTGTCAGTGAAACTTATTTACAGTAACCCACTTAGTCTTCAATTCATCGGGTGACCCTACCAATTTTAAGGTAGTTGCAGTATCAGCGAAACTTTACAGTGACCCACTTAGTCTTCAATTCATCGGGTGACCCTACCAATTTGAGGCGGTTGCAGTGTCAGCGAAACTCTCCTACAGTGTCCCACTTTGTCTTCTGTATCGCAATGAAGCAATGGCCCTGTACACACGGACGGCCGATGCAACGCAAATACCTCTGTTAAAGCGCATCCGTCGAAGTATATCAACCAATTTGGCTGGGAACTGTCGCTTGTTCGTTCCAATTTTAGTGCAGATGATCTTTCATAAGTAGTGTGAAGTGCGTGCGTCGGTTCCAGCCTGCGCTTGTGTTATCTGCCACACAAAACCGTAGCATGCGGCTGCCCATGTAGCCGTAGTAGCTATGTACTGTACTTCAGTTCTGAATGCGGGGCACTAACCTTGTGCCTGTTATATCTCAGATTTCCGATCATGTGGGCACACATGACCAAGCGGAGTGTGTGCTGCACTTCTTGCGTCTTCCAATCCAGGACCCCTATTTGGAGCCAGAGATCGTTGGTGCCGGTATGTAATGTGCACTACCTCTGCCGTCGTGTCACATTACGCATGGGTGTTTACGTTGCAATGCTGATGGGAGTCGTTGGTCGGCCGTACTATGTATTTGTATGTATCACATTTCGAGATACACTCAGTTGACTGACTATGCCCGTATATGGAAACGTCTGTCATGTGAGAGCGGCCTTCTCCAGCGTGCTACTCCGAACCGAATGATATGTTTAATATGATCACATACGACTTTGTAACCATTTAACATTCGCCAACCAAATGTCACTGTCGTGACAATACTTATCGGAATATCCGTTGAAACCCTAACCCCCCCCCCCCCCCATTATTTATGAGGTTCTCGTAACACAACTACCGCACCTGTGAAGTACCAGTGATCATTTTTAGTCGCTTCCTTACCGTATACCCATACAGCAATAGTATATACTACTTGTGCGTTAAGGTACCAAGGCATTGCCCACTTACGCAATTTGTGTAGTCTATATGCCAAGCGAAATTAGACTCTTATTTATATGCGAGCGCGTTGAGTTTTGATGGTACATACAGTAGTCTGCACGAACATTCAGCTGTTGAACTCCTTAAAATAGTCTAAGGAATGACGCGTTAGTGTAGCAAAGGCACGTCACGCTATGTGCTACGAATTGTTTAAAGTGGATAGTAAATCTGGTGGGCACCATTCACGACCTTTCCTGTTTCGCCAGCCGAAGGAATGAAGTGCAGGTAGCTTTTGTGGGGTGTGTTAGCCAACCTATCCGCTGCTTCTCCTAACCTCCGACCGGTGTTTGTTGCCATTCATATGCACCAGGTGCGTTAGCGTGCAACCCAATCCCTTTCAGTCAGACCGAGAATCCCATCATGAACACTGTGGCGTTCCTTGCCTCAGTGATCGACCCAGCTGTGGCGGCTGCTGCTGCGGAGGCGGCGCTGGCCGAGTACAAGTCCCTGGGCACAGAGGAGTGGGCCAACGATGAGAATGACAAAGGTGTGTGTGTGTGACACTTCTGACACTTCTGACACTTCAGGTGCTGTTCGTCGGTGGTGATGTAAGCCAGGTGTTTATGTGGAGTCAAAGTCAAAGGCTTTTCTTGTCCGATACTAGTTTCCATGGTCTGACCGACGCCTTGCGCGTGTGTCTTGTCAGTGAGTATGTGGATGGGTGTCAAGATGCATTGGCATCGGTTTTACACCTGCCCTCCATGAAAGGCCAATGGCTGAGAACGATCTGCAACGAATACGAAGCACACTTTGAATTACAAAGATGATGATGATGACCGCGTTTATCCAGTGGGACGGAAACTCGTTTCCATTTTCGTTTCCGTTTTCGTTTCCGTTTCCGTTTTCGTTTCGGTCTGTATGCGTGTGTCTGTCAAATGCTATCAGTCTCAATACTCACACACCCCTATCTGATCACCACAATCTCACAGAGAACAACGAGAAGGGCCAGACCACACAGCCAACCATGAGCGCTGCAGCAACAGACAAGTTGAAGCTAGCGGCCACAGCTGCAATGTCCATGGCAGCTGTCAAAGCTCACGTATGTAGCCTATTCGAAGCCGAATTCCCCCGCGGCTACCAAATAGCAATCAGCAACAGCCCGATGCCTTGGCTTTATGGTCGTGTTAGATGCGTTTTTGATCTATCGCGCATGCCAATCCCATCTCATCGTATCTCAATGTTTTGAAATATCGAATTCATCTTATCTAAATGTTGTTATGCAGGCTTTGGCGGAGAGGGAAGAGGCTGAGGTGCGTGGCCTCATGGCCGAGATTATCGAGTGCCAGCTCAAGAAACTAGAGATCAAGATGAACCAGTTCGAGAAGCTGGAATCGCTGATGGAGAATGAATATCATAAGGTGTGTGTGTGTTTCATTGATGTTTTGTGAAAACTCGGTTGACTCGCGAAATAAGTCTGTGTGGCCAATAGTATCGTATCGATGTTGTTTGTGTTAGTGTATCGCTGGGCTCCAATCGAGCGGCCTCGCTAGTGACTTCCAGCTGACTTAGTTTACACGCGTGCGACAGACGACAGACGTCGTCCACTCGCCTCGAATTAGACCATATGTTGACTGGAATTGCATTGATTATGTTGCCGCTCGCGTGTGTGTGTGTGTATGTATTTATTTATGTATTTATGTATGTATTTATGTATGTAGGTAGGTAGGTATATATGTTTGTATGTAGGTATGTAGGTATGTATGTATGTGTATGTGTATGTACGTTCGCACGTAATTATGTGTGTGTCTATCTATGTATCCATCTATATGTGTGTCTAGGTTTACATGTATGCATGTATAAGTTTATTCTCTTCGTATCGTACTGAGACACTCCATGTCAATAACACACATCGGCAGTTGGAAGCCCAGCGCAAGGAACTCTTACGCGACAAGATCAAACATCAAGAACTTGAGATCGAGCGAGACACCCTCCAGGCCGACTGTGCCGCGCTGCGAGAAGAATTGATCAACACACAGAAACGTCTGAACCAGCTACAACCCGCCGCCGCCTCCTCTCCAACAAGCACAACACCAGCGAACACAACCGAACGTCCCAGTGCGAATATAAGTGGGGTGGCCAGTAGACCGGCCTCACAGACAAGTAATCCTCCTCCAAGTACGAGTGTGGGGAACTCGCCCTCGCCGGCGATGCCGGGGGTTAGTACTGGTCCGGGTTCGACGGAAATGGACACTACTAGATAACAAGATGGATGGGGTTGATGTGGGCGTGGAGTGTGGATGTGGCTTACAGCACATCTTGGCTTACATGCATGTCTCTGACCAGATATCAAATAAATGCAGGTATATCAACCGGTGCATTGTAGATCCGTTTCATCTCGCACGGCCATATTTTAATATCTCCAAAGTATTGCTGATATTCAATTGTAGGTGCTAGAGCATGGGCAATTAGTTTTGGATAGATCGATAACAGCTGTATTTGCTGTTGAGCTAATTTCATATCACTTAGCAGATGGTTACAACGCTGAATGCAGGCATGTGAACTCTGCCTGTGTATATGAGAAATCTCATGTCTCGGTGTTAAAAATATCATCCACCAAGATCTTAAATCAAAAACGTATGATTTCTAAATTCTCTATGTTCCGGCGGAATACCGCAGAATAAAAGGGAGCAACGTTTAGTATGTCAATAAACGCGAGAATGACTAATTGTCGGGACGAGATGTATGCCGTTCTTCTACCACAAATACATCCCTTTCATCTTTTCGTGATAGTTTTGATACTCGAAAAGTAGATATAGCTACATAGTGATATCTTGCCGTGGTTGGGAAGTGGGCAACACTTGATAGATATAGATATAGCTCGCTTCAGGTCCAAACAACCGAGCGCGCCTAGTAACAACTATTTCCCGTAGTCCAGTAACTTTCGGAGTCAGTGCCGGATCGATACGACTGTGTGATGGTTCAATCTCTCCGGGCGCTGCGCATTCTGCTCATGTTCCCCTCTCATTAAAGGCTGTAATTGGTATTGTGCTTGTGTGCCGTAGCCTTGGCCCAAGTTTGCAAGTAAAAAAATGTCGTTGGCTGTGGTGTATTGTTGCTTGGATACTCCTTATATATCTCTACCGAGATAGTAAACTTTGCGCTCCGTATCGTAGAATTGTTTTGAAACCTTCGACTGACAGGTACTGCAAATAAACATCTTTCATATCTTTATTTGGAGTCTGCCATATGAATTTATCTGACTTCTACGCACGAACTGTAGTCTAGGTCGTGACAGTCAATTGACGATCAGATTGTCTCCGACCGAAAGTTATAGCTTCTAGGTCTTGGGAGAATGGAGAAGCACTGTCATCATTCGCCGTTTGTTGACGACATACGTCCTGTCCAATACGCCCCAACAAATGAAACGCTGCAGGAATTAAATCTCAAGAAATGAAACAATGCAGGGATTGAATTGAAGGGTATAGCCTTAGTGTGACCATGCGGCTACACATGGGTGTGGCAATATCGCAGGAGAGTGCCATCGCCGTCACGCGAGTTGCCACCCAGAGTGCAAGATGCCGAATTTTTGCAGCGCCAAAACATGCGCACCCTATTATCTCAACATAGCTTCAATCTATTACTGCGACGGTTTGCTGCTGTCTTCAGAATGTTCGAATGGTGAGCATGCCTTCGAGATGAGTGAAATGAGTTTTGCCGGGTGGACGACCTACAGAGCCTGTGTGATTGAAAACAAACAAGAAAATAAAAGGACAGGACAAAATCTGCCACATCGTATCGCCGCCCTCATTGCTTTTCTAGGACTAAATTTGTTGCACTTGTTGCGTCTTTGGAACTAACGGATTGTGTAGCAGGAACCACTTCCTTGCTGTGGTGCTTTGAACTTGTATACCCCAGCGATAAGAATCCAATCAAGTTGTCGCATAGTGTGTGCAGAAAATCAATGTGTCCACAGCTGCTCCATCAACAACACATACATAAGAGACTCGGACTGGTATATAATGTATATTGCATTTTTATTCCAGAAGTTATTTTGGTACAGTCGGCTCCCTGATATATTGCTGGCTGTGAAAAGTATTATATTCTTAAACAGGCAACAAGCTCCTCGCAGACTTCTTTATAGTCCCATGTGCTTCCTGAGATACGCTTAAGCCGTACCCCGTTCACTGAGAGCCCGGCCAATTGGCATACTTCCGCTTCGAACTGCACGGTTTGGTATGTAACCTCGAACATGTAATTGTTTTGATCGAATGTGCACCGCTTTTCGGTTAGTACCCTCCGAATCTCTCTGTATATCAACGCGCAAAGAAAAACGCAAAAGGAGAAGGAGAAGCGAAATTGTCAGTTTTGTTAATCTACAGATCGGGGTTGCTGATGATAAACTCATCACGGTGCAAGACACTCTACTGTACTCGCGCCCAATTTTGTCAGGATCGATATGATATGCGATTCAACTAATTGCTGCAGCGCAAGTTATACCTGGCAAGCACTGAAAAATTGAATCTGTGAACAACCCAAACCGTATCGAAGCTGCTCGAACGACTCAAAGTGTACGAAAGATGTACACAGGTGTCAAAAAATCGACCGCAGCACAACTCAGATAAATGTGCTATACCTCGCAATCATCTTGACCGGCTTGCACGAAGTCATATCACACGACACGGCCAAGCGCATTATTCGGGGCTCTGTCATGTATTTATCCGCGCCATCCTCTTGTGCCCCCTGCAAATCAAAATATGATGCCAAGTAGAATGAACGTACCGTGAGTATGAAATAAACGATTTTCCTCCATAGAACTGGGCATATGCTTAGAACAAACACTCGAGTGCTCGATCTATAGAAAAATGATGCTCTGTCGAGTGCCGATACCACGTGTTCGCACTCGAATTCCAGCATGCTCCGCACAACACAAAGCCTCCAGACTGGAACCCAGTGAGAACAACTAATATACAAACAAACAACACTAATACTTCATAGCAAGTCAGGTATCAAAAACATCGCTCCATAACACGCCATAGACATCAAAGCCCCATCACATACATGGCTCTTCAGCAGCATCAGCTTCTCGCCCTTCGCATCGCTTTCATTCTGAACAGTATGTCGCCTCCCGAATGAGGTCTTCTGTTCCGGTGGTGAGTGCTGGCCCTCGAATATCTCGCCGTTGTCATGACCACCATAGTACGCAGGCCCGGACCCGTTTAGCCAGCTCTCTTGCCTGCCCACAGGATTCGACACCCAATTGTTCGCAGACCCTGGTCGCGTCTCCGAATTCACGCTGTGGGGCCGCGGTGGGTGACTGGGGTGTTGAGCATAGGGGCCGTGTTGCTGTGGTTGCCGGTTCTGCTGCCTCAGCACACTCTGTACCTGGGCTCTGGGATAAGCGACCGAGGCGCCGAACGACGACGCGGACATTGTGTTGGACGGCAAACTGTTCGGAGCGGTCGTGTATGACACCTGTGACACGTGCTGTTGTGTACTGTCAGTACGGCTGTTGATGGGTATTTGGTTGGACCGTTCCTGCGAGACGGTACACGCCTCAACTTGCGTGTTCAGACTATCGGTGGAAGATGGAAGCATGAGCTCTGCTGGTTGATCTACACCGCTCTCGCTCACCGCTCCATATCCCTGTTGTTGCGTGTACTGCTGGAATTGTCGACTTTGCTGCGTTTTGTACCCGTATGTGGTTGTTGGGCTGGTTAAAGCAAGCTTGGAAGGCGTGCGTGGTCTGGTTTGCATCACCGTCAACTTAGGCATTCGATGCTGGCCCATAGGACTACTATTCTTATGCACATACTTCTGTTCGCCTCGAGGCTGCATCCTAGGATGGTTGTTATTGTGTTGCAGTTTTGGGTTGGGATGTACACCTGTGTGGTCGTACGGAAGCACCGGCTCCGCAGATGAACATCTATTTCGTACGGGAACCGTAAAGCAGTTGTTCTCGCTAGTTTCCTGATAGTGCTCTTGTATGTGGTCCAGACCCGTGCTACTGGAGACCGGAGTCGACTTTTTCCTGTTGGTGAATACGATTTGAATAAGAGGCACTTACACATTAGCTACCACAAGCTCTTGATAACATCCAGTCCATCTCGAGACAACCATGTGTTGAAGACCATAGACAATAATTTGAAAACGAACACTCACACTTGATTGTCATTTCCAGTGTCTTAGCAAGTGATTCGCCCAAACTTCTGACTGATTGTTGGCTAAGTACTCTTTCGCTACGCCTGATAATTTTCTCGGTTTGAATCTACAGGCTTCACCCAAACTTCACATTGAAGTGAAATCTACAAACTAGAGGGCATGTTAGTGCGGCTATAGTGAAGTTCGCCCATTGAATATCAACGCGTCTTCTAAACCCAAGACCAAACAGTAGCATACCTGTAGAAAGGCAATCCTTCTGTACTGTCGCTGCGTGGAGCCTCGGGGCCCCATGGTCTCGTACTGTTCGGGCTGTTTGGTGTGGGTATCATCGGATTAACCTTACCTAATATTTGGCCCTGATTGCCGGTACTCAAAAACCCAAGAGGCTGATAAGGGCTGGCATTCGTATTCGTTTGACCTTAGACAGCAGATTGTGAGTTGAAAATTGAATGTCAGTACCAGGTAGACTTGATTAGGCAGAAAATCGAACAAGAAAATCTCTGAATGTGTAAATGAGATATGAAACAGCGTTTTTGACACTAGGAACAGATCAAGAACTGACCCGGTAGTTAGACCACATCTCTCTTCTTCGGCTGACAGACGATAATTTGCACATAGCAGTATAACATACAAGTGATATAAAGGCTTCCGGATGTTCCGATATCAGCTTTTGTTGATTGACATATATAGTGACATGAGTATACCTGAGTGCGAGCCCCCTTGTGAAGTGAATGCAACCGGCAAAGAATACATTCGCTTGACAGTTTGGTCCGTGCACATTGCGGTATCAGCGACAGATTCATCGCTGCCTGTAATGGTAGGAAGTTAAACAAACACGTCAGGTGCTCATCATCGAATTTCAGGTAGGTAGACCTCTTCATAACGTTCCCTCGCACGCCCTGGGAATATGAGCAGAAGTGATCGTATCGCAGAGCACGACAGCTCAGCTTGCTATGTGGATATATGGTATTAGTTCTACGACAACACTGAATTCTATTAAATCGCCATTGCGTGCACCTGAATAAGTTTTCAAAAGTCATCGCACTTGAAATAATACATACTGCCGCTGATATCAGATATCCCATCAAACCGACCCGTTTCCTCTTCAATATCGCTCTCTGTCGCTGACATCTCTTCCGTGGCAGAGTGCATTTCTAATTCGTCGAGTTCGGGCGGTGACGTCCGCACCGCAGAAACCGAATGTCGATGCTTGAGTATTCGATTAGTTGGTAGCGTTGGCTTTATTTCATGCTGCGTTTCCGTATCCGTTTGCATTTGATACTGAGGCGGTTGGATGTGGTTGAATTCGTTCTTCACATCAGATGGTTGCCGTTGGGGCAAGGTGTCCATGTCGGATGGTGATGGTGGTTTCTGGCTCACACTGCTCAGGCTGTTGGTCTCCAGAATAGCTTCAGATGCTGACTGGAATGGTTTGTGCGTGCTAGACGTGTAGTGCGTGGCCCACTTTTGGCTCGTGTTGGTTTGACTCTCTTCCTTCTGTTTGGCCAAGCGCTCCCGTTCCACTTTCAACTGTGCTAGTTTTCTCCTGTGTCGCTCAACCATGAGAAAGTACGTCGCGGAATAGTTGTCGTACGCATCGACCTGCAATCGTTGGCAGCACAAAATTAAGACAGCCGAGGTCAAATACATGGGATAGGGACATAGGAACAATGTCTGTCGTTTAAATCAGCGAGAACCGACACAAACAACCAACAAATGCGACTAAAACTCCTGAAGCAAAACAAAACTAGATTGGTTGTACCTCAAGCGAGTGTATAGTATCTTGACGCGACATGCCGAGCTCTTCCATCTGACTTAGCACCGCCTCGACGTATTGGCCCGGTACACCATTCGCCGATGGAGTATATGAGACCTCCTTCTGCATCACAGATTCGATCGCATTGCCGCTATTCATCCAATCGTGCGCCAGAATGCCTTTGAGACTGATGCGCTTTTTCGGGTCTCGAACCAGCATTTTCTTGATCAGCAATTCGCACTCTGACAAATACAAGCAAATTATGGAATAAATATGTACCCAGGTTTCGATCCCCAAATTGTGATTCCCCGTGAAACATCGTTACCGACCTAGGACATGTGGGTCACTGAGCCATACCTACGCGACAATTTTAAATAAATCAAGAGTTTAGTAGCGAAAATGACTCACCGGAGGAAAGGTAGAACGGTATCTTGAATACCCCATCCAATATGCGCATCCGGAGCTCCTGAAGCGATGCTCCGTCAAACGGCAGTGCCCCACACACCAGTACATACAGAACCACGCCTAGAGACCAGATATCTACACCCGGACCAGAATATTCTCTCCCTTCGAATAGTTCCGGTGCCGCATACGGCGGGCTCCCGCACCATGTGCTCAGGTGAGTCTCCGGTCGAAAACAGTTGCTGAATCCAAAATCCGCAATCTTGATGTTGAAGTTCGCATCCAGAAGTAGATTCTCGGCTGTGATGCGATTGCAGACAATTAGAATAGATTTTCGCTTTTTTTTTTGGGAGTAAGCCATGTGATTGACTGTATGAGAGACCAATTATTGAGTTTGATCCTTGCTGCACCACCAAGTGGTAAGAATTCCGTAAGAACGAACAAAGCTTAGAGGTAAGTATGAATTTTATAACACACGAACGTTCACTGAAACTTTCTCCTACTCTGATCATAATGTGTACATAAAGTGCAACGCTGATGTAGCAGGTATCTACATACGCACGTATGGGAACGTGAAAAGCAGGATTCTCAAGTATATGGATAAAGACAATGAGAGATTGCACTATTCCATTGGCGCGCATCATGACCGCTTTCTGCTTCTTGCAAAATTTTCCGCACAGACATACATTTATCATGGTATGCGCAACCATACAGCGACACACCCAATGTACATATCTGAATCATACACGAACATGTACCGTGATAGTTATTATCATTCAACGCCACTCAACATCCAGTGTGAGATCAAAATTCTGAATATAGCAGACATATGCACACCCCGGGAAAATTTAATCCGGTGGCGCTCAAACAGTAAATGTCAAACAAGAAAATTCTAGATTTGCTACGCAATTACGTGCATCTATTGGTGAAAAACGCCATTTCAAATTCGACAGACACTAGCTATGAAACATCAAAACTTGATTTGAGAAGCTCGGTCAGTGGGAATTCATAAAGTAAAAACGTTTCTACACATAGCAAAAATTTAAATATAAATATAACTATATATATATATATATATATATATATATATATATATATAGTATATATATATATATATATATATATATATATATATATATATATATATATATTATATATATATATTATTAT